TACGCAACCGGCCACAAGAGTGCTAAAAACATTTCCTATACATCTGTTATATTTTTCCTTCCACTTAAGAAGAAATGTTAGCGGTAAAGAAAGATAACACTACAGCTAGTATAACTTGCTTGTAAAATGTAAACTAACACCCAAATATGTGAGCATGTGCTCTAAAAGGAAGCTTTGCACAATATGTTTCAATCAACTGAATAAGTTTGAGTTTCGGAATATTAGAAAGAATATGATATCATTTATTTATTTTCACACCTTACTTGTATTTTCCCTAAGCCCTTTAGTGGCAAAACGTGCACAAGACACTAAGAAGACACAGGGTATCAATTTAACATACTTCTTCTTGACTTTTCTTGGCTCTTCTAACTTTCTATGGGCGCAGACATTTTAAGTAACAGCGCCACCTATCGGTCATACATCAAATTTACAGTTGGGCACAAAAGTTGAATAAGTATTAGATCCTGATCAAGTTAAACTCTTGAGAGGGGATAAAAATTGAAAGGATATATAGGTAAATATTAATCCTTTTCATATAAATTTCAAATAACTTGAAACTATGTAAGCTATAGAGATGGGCATACACGGACCTAGAGGGATAAGGAAAAATCAGGAAGGTCCTGACCCCCCCCCCCCTTTTGAAATTTTCATAAACAAAGCCTTTTTCTCAGAAATCAATTACTTTCTAAAATCAATCATATAAACACTAGTTTTATTAAAGGACAAACCACTCAGTAAAATGCAACAAATTTTTAATCCCAAATCTGAACTTTTCTCATCAGCAGTTGCATGGAGACTTTATAAAGCCGTCATTAGAAGTAAAAGAACTGCGAAAATGAGGCCAATTTCAGTCAAAAGTTGTATCACATTAACATCGTACTTATAATGAAGCCATTTTGAAATGTTTATCTTTATGTCATATATGTAATTTTTGTATTAATTGTTTGACCCATATGGGTATGTATATATGGAGCTGATGAAGTGCACGGTGGAATTAGGGACTTGAACCCCTCTCCCCGTTAAAAGTTAAATTGTTTAGGCTTTTGAAATGTTATACTTTTCAAAAAAAAATCTTGGTCGGATTTTTTTTAGCAGGTTGGACCCCTCCAGAAAAAATCCTGAATCCACAGTGGCGGATCCAGGATTCTTGAAAAGGGGGCGCAACCAGTTGGGGTCGGGATGCGGGTCCAGGGTGCGAAGCTCCCGAAAGCTCTCAGCAGGTTTATTTAAGGAGTTTTATGGAACAGTTTTTAAAATGCATTTTTGTTATATTTTACGTATAATTTAATGTATATATTTTTGGTCTCGAAAGGGGGGGGGGGTGATCTACGTTTTATATCTTTAGGAGGAAGAATATGGAAATTTAAACCCCCTCCCTTTTATAAAAAAATGTGCTTTTTGAGGCTGAGACACTGAGCATGCCTTTGGTAAAATACTTTAGGTGGATTTTTTTCCTTTTGAAAGTTGACTGTCCCCTGTTTAACCATGACCTTTTTTAGTCTTGAGCAAACATAAAGTTATTTTTTATTCTTCTCGATTGTTCAAAAGCAAAAAATTTGTGAGCAGACATATAGTGTGAGACAGACAATTTAAAACAAATATCCTTTGTCCCTATATCTCAAAATACTATTACACATGTATTCTATCAGCAAATTGTGTTATCGCATCATACTTCATTGTCACACCTTTATTGCACATTTGATTCTTCTCATGTAAAATCTTTAATTAAGCAGATGAGTGAAATTCTAATCACATGTGTAAAGCAATGTCACTTATTGTGCAATAGGTAGCGTAAATGCTATATATGCAAAAGTGCAGAGATTGTTATTCACAACAAAGGTAGAATCTTTGACTCGTGACTGTATGCGCAAGAGATAAAATTAATATCAACATTTTATGGATCGTGAAACAAGTCGTATCATTTCGATAAAAATTGCACTTACACCTTAAACATGGCGGAAACTGCTCATGAGAACGCTTACGATAATCCAAATTTGGAAGGTATTTACTTACACATGAATGAATTGTTATTTTCAGAAATTATTATGTTATTTATGGTTTCTGCATGTCATTCAAAGTGCACTTGTGCTTGCACACCAGCCTTTGTACTGAAATCATAGGCGGATCCACTAAGAAATTTCGGGACCCCGAGGATTTTCAGTGCTATGTTACTAGTATTATATGCTAAATTTATTCAGTAAACTAGCCAAGAAAAATGGGAAAATGATCAAGGTTGTCGTGTATAGACCACATTTTTAACCACTACCAATTTAACATTACGGAATTCTTGTTTGGTCGATTTTTTTTACTTCCTTGTCAGATTCTGTTGCGATGAAATTTGTTTTCAGTATGGGCCCCCGGCTTCGGTCTTTTATAGAAGTTATTCATTTAAATGATCAAGTGACAAGGAAAATACACATATAGAGAAGATCCTCTGTGTTCTTTCTTTCTAGGTCTGTCGAAATCGAGATATTTACAAGTAACCCACAGAAAGGAAAAGGGTTACAATTATGGATAACGTGTAATACATAATACCCATTAAAAATGAAAAAGAAAAAAATGTGTCTATCCCAGCTAGATTTTTTTTTTAAACATGTTTTTCTCAAGAGCTCTCTAATTTTTATGCAGTACATCCGAATCTCTTGTATCGAAAAAAAAAAACAAACAAACAAACAACAACTTAATAATGTATGTTTTAAGCATGATAATACTTTATAAGAAAGTTCAAACCGTTCAAGACATATACGACACATTTTTTTTTAAATGAAAGCAAGTCAATTATGTCTTCAATTGAATACAATTCAGAATCAAATTTCACAAGTAAATATTTTAATACTTCAACTTGTTATTTTTTTATTTTAAACAGTAAGATGTCCATTCTGTCCGGAACATATTCACCATGTTGACATAAAGCAAGTGCATAGACATAAATAAAAGATACTGTAGTACAGAAATTATTGTAAATTAGCGTAAATCTGTGAAAATTACATGTCTTATTACGTAGACCTTTTATTTCTTTCTGAATTAAAATTGTGTTGAAATTATTTTTTTCGCTGATTAAAAAAATTGCACATGATAAAACTCTTTACCGTTGAATATGTAATAAGCTTATTCATAATTTAAAGGCATAGTTCCCATATTTTTATAGGCTCATATTTCAAATGGTGCAATACTCCATGTGTAGAAGAATAATATACGGAAGATTCAGGTTTTTGCATTAGGAACGGCGGTTTAGTTTAAAATATATTTTATTCATGATACATAAACTGGATTGAACAGTAGGCATAAATCATTTGGTACATGTATAGAATGAATCGAGAGAGAGAGGGAGGGGGGGGGGGTAAAATGAAATAAAATAAAAGACATATTGAAAAAAAAAATATTATAATGAACATGTTGATTCAGGGTGGGAAAAATTCCCTCTCCAAATAACATGTCTTTGATAAGATATTTTTTCCTAGCATACGAACGGGGATGCAATGACCTGGTAAATGGGAGTCAAGGACGGAGCCCTGGTGGGGGAGGAGGACAAAATTCAAATAGAGCTCCTAAGAATAAGTAACCAAAGAATTTAATGCATTGTATCTTTATAACAATAATGTTTGACAGTGAAAACTCTAAATGCTAAAAGATGTAAATCCAGATTAACATATTGGTCAAAAGCTGTAGCTGCAGAGCTTGTACATTTATTATTTTCACAAATCCAACTTATAAAAAGATTTATGATCTCATCTGGCTTCCATAGATCTGTATGCACTTTCACTTTATCAAAATTATTAATTTGTTATAACAAATTACCAATTTGTTATAACAAATTAATAATTTGTTATAACAAATTAATAATTTGTTATAACAAATTAGTAATTTGTTATAACAAATTAATAATTTGTTATAACAAATTATTAATTTGTTATAACAAATTATTAATTTGTTATATCAAATTGATAATTTGTTATATCAAATTAGTAATCTGTTATAACAAATTAGTAATCTGTTATAACAAATTAGTAATTTGTTTTAACAAATTAGTAATTTGATTTAACAAATTGATAATTTGTTATAACAAATTAGTAATTTGTTATAACAAATTAGTAATCTGTTATAACAAATTAGTAATCTGTTATAACAAATTAGTAATCTGTTTTAACAAATTAGTAATCTGTTATAACAAATTAGTAATCTGTTTTAACAAATTAGTAATTTGTTTTAACAAATTGATAATTTGTTATAACAAATTAGTAATTTGTTATAACAAATTAGTAATCTGTTATAACAAATTAGTAATCTGTTTTAACAAATTAGTAATCTGTTATAACAAATTAGTAATTTGTTTTAACAAATTAGTAATTTGTTTTAACAAATTGATAATTTGTTATAACAAATTAGTAATTTGTTATAACAAATTAGTAATCTGTCATAACAAATTAGTAATCTGTTATAACAAATTAGTAATCTGTTAAAACAAATTAATAAAAGATACTGCTGCGGCCCTAATACGCTTCCGTAATAATATGTGCTGACTATTGCCTAAAGCTAACTTACTCAGACAGGTCTTCTTATTTTGTTGCATTGCTGCTAAGACTCCATCCATTTGATATAACTGTCATATAATTACATGTACTTTGAAACATAACGATTAGAACAGGCTAATTGAAGAAATAACCTTCAAAAGCATATTTCGGGGAACGTTTTAGATTTTTTTTAGTAACTAACATAAAACATCCGAAATTCGACAACTGTTTATTGATTCTTTGATTTTCGCGTGCGAAACTGATTAATTTTAACAAATTCATAGTACATTGAAAAGTATGTAGGCCTTTAGAAGACTAACTTTTTGGAAGTCTGCCAGGTGGGATAATTGGCTCTCAAGTGAAACAACTAACTCCCTATCTTTCATATGAAAGATTGCGAAATGAGTTGACACACGGGATGTTTTGTTATACTCACATCTGTGTTCTGTATTTTGCGCAGTACTGTAATGTTAGATTTTATCACGTGACCAATCATGTGATATTATTCAATCAGTCAAAGTAAAATGGCGGATGGGGAGGAAAGAGCTCCTCTACTTCGGAGCAATAATACAGAGCCCCCACCGGTTTACAGTTCACAAGGTAATGTTTATTAATGTCTCGAGTGATTTTTTGGTCAGAAAAACTTAACGGCTATTTATTATAGTGATTATTTAGTTTTCAAAAAGGTAAAGAGGAAGTTGTATACGGAATAAGAGGAAAATTGTGTTATAGATCTGCGAAATGTACCATGGGTACAGCAACATCTTGATGATCAACGAAACAAATTTAGACAAAAAAATATCCATATCATGTATGTACAAGTGAATTCAATTGGAAAAACAGGCTTTGTCCGTTATGCAAATTATCCCACATTTCCAACTGTTGTTTATGCCCTTGCAAACCCAACAATAAAGACTGTGATTCCTTAAATATACCAAATTCACACAAAGACACAAATGAAAGAAGAAAACAGGGTTTGGATCAAAATGAATTTTTTAAAGTGTGATTAAACATATTCACAGGACAAGAAGTAAACTACATAATTTTCTGCATCATTATTACAGCACCACCCCCTGGTCAAGTGCCACCACCCATCCTACCAGATGAACTGCCACCACCGTACACCCCCACACCACAAGGGGGGATCCCCATGATCAACTGTAAAGTCTGCCAGGCATTGATAAACGTGGAGGGAAAGCAGAACCAACATGTTGTCAAATGTTCTGTTTGCAATGAAGCCACAGTAAGCTCCCTTTATTTTATGTAACCCATCTTCTCTTTGTATGTGATTTTTCATTTATTATTCTGGAGGAGGGATATTCTCAGTGTGTATTTACTGTAAATGAATTTGTACCATTGTTGATTATCTGGATAATCATGCAGTTCAATTAAAATCACACACAGTTAATTTTCAAAATATTCATTATCCCCTATCTTTTGTGTTAGAATTTGAATAAGTTATGATTGTAGTTATTTTAATGTTACCTTTAAAAATTAAAATTTACATGAGATGTATATTTTTAGCCAATCAAGGGACCACCTCCAGGTAAAAGGTACATACGATGCCCCTGTAATTGTTTGCTGATTTGTAATAGTACGGCAGCCAGGATAGCATGTCCAAGACAAAGCTGGTAATGGAATAAATGACTGCAAGTTGTTTGCATACTTTGAAATCACTAATTTTCATGAAGATTTAATTTTTGTTGTTTCTGTTGTATGAAGAGACTCGCTAATTCATGTCCTCCATGAAATGTTATTTTCAAACTACTGTATCCTATTTTTTCTTTAACCATGAAATCAAATCTCTACACACCAGCATTTGTTCCTCAAACTACAAAAAATTGTCCCAGTGAAAACAAGTGATTTTACAGTATATTTCATTACAAGATAACATTAGATATGTTACATTAATAGCAAATTTCTATGAAGTTAAAGCACCCTATTAATGCTTCATTTCATGTATTGAATTTGCTGAATCAATGCAGATTTACAGATACAAATACAGCAATCAAAATTCTTTATTGATATATGTTACATTTTTTGCTAGCAAGAGAATCATTAACCTAGGGGGCCCTTCACAGGTTATTGTTCGTAGCCCAGGATCCGAGAGGTTTATCTGTGCATACTGTTCTCAGATATTTGTGGTAAGCTTGTCTTGCTATTTATCAAAAAGGATTTCAAAATGCATAAACAAAACTCCCCCAAACCCACCAATCTTGACTTCAATAGTATATACATGTATTTCAATTTCGATTTCTGAAATTTTTTTTAGTGAAGTAATTATCTTCAAATATATTTGTACATGTATATAAATGCTGTCTCTGTGGTTTATTCTACTTCAACTTCTTGCGGAATGATCAAATAATGTCTGTCTATATAATCTCTTTCAGTTCAGTACACTTGGATGGAGCCAACTCTCACGCTGCCCACACTGCAGTAGAGTGTAAGTTCACAGAAACATCAAAATCTTAAAATGTTTTATTACTGTGAGTTCACCTTGATCCGTACTTGTAATGAACTTTAATTAATATTTTCAGATCCTCATGTGACAGCGCATATACAAAAACTCGCTGTGTGATATACCTCATTTTGGGGATTATTTTTCTTGGAGGTGGAATTGGTGTAACGGTAAGGTTTTATATTTACTTAACTGAAATATCAATAACGCAAATAAAGACTATTAATAATAAGTCTTGCTTAGAGAAAGCTGCACATATAATTGAGTTTTTTTTACTCCTATGCTTGTTTTCAATTAATACGAGTCATTTGCATGGTTGACGGTAAAGTAAATGTACTGTTTACCTTAGAAAAAAGCTTATAAAAAGTTGTTCTTTTTTTCTGCTGTTTTTAATTTGGTTCTAATACTCATTTTTCTTAATTATTACTGATTATGTTACTAGGTTGGAACCTACGAGATTGCACGAGGTTCAGGAGGAATCTACACTGTGTGGATAGGTACGTTATCGTGGTTAAATGGCTCTTATTTATTCTGCTTATTTCTTTTATATGTTTGATTTTTGTCACTTTTAATTTTTTTTTTTACAGGGGCATTTGTGATTGGTATCTTGTTTCTGATAAGAGCCGCCTACATTGGGTCAATCAGGGTCAGCCAGAGAGCTCCTCCCCGCTAACATCACAATGGAAACAAAAATGGCTGTCAGTGATTCAACCAGAGACCAAATTATCTTTTCTCTCTCTCTTTTTAACCTGTAAAGAAAGACTAATTAAATGTAAATTCATGTAATTATCAGGTATCTACCAGGTAATTATAAATCTTTATATGTATGTATTTTTTAAATGTATTTTACTGCTTGTTACATACATACAGTTGAACTTCAATATCTTGAACACTGATATCTCGAATATATGGATATGTCGAAGTGATTTGGAAGTGCCAATCGCTTATTCCTTAAGTATTTCACCCTTGATATCTTGAATCCTCAGATATCTCAAAGTATTTTCTCGGTCCCATTGAGTTTGAGACAACGAGATTTGACTGTATTTAAATTGATATTCTCTTTTAGACCTTTTCCAAATGTACTTAATACATTCACTGAGACAACCTTTGGAGTGATGGTACCATATTAAAAAGAATTTTTTTCAAATATATGTACTAGTCCAAAAACAAATGGTGTTTTCTACTTAATTGTAGTAATATTAGTATATATCTTAAAATTTTTTGTTATACTTAAGATTTTGTTGTCTTTTGTAGCAAAGACTGCGTATCCTTAACATTATATGCTATCTTTGTATTATTGCTGCACAAACGTCAGTACTTATCTGGAAATTGTTATACAGACCACCGAGCTAGGAGACTTTATTGCATGACTTACAAAATCCTCAGTGACTGGAAATGCACATATAATATTATTTTAGCCAAATATGTATGTTAGATACCTGTGATATAGCTATTTTTTGTTGTGTACTTTACATTAATAGCCGGTCCTGCGTAAGAGTTGTGTTTAGTTCATTGTATATAAATGATCAGTTTGTAATAAATATGAATGATTTTGTGCAACATACTGCTGAAATATTCATTTACATGTATATCCATAATTAAACAATCACTAATAGGTTATGTCCCTGAGTGACTAAATGAGTATGAGAAGATTTTTTTAATTTTTTTTTTTTTCAAAATCTACTTGGCCTTTTACTTAAAAGAGGGATAATGTGAATATCAAAATTGTAGTCTTGAGAATGTTTTAATGTGTCCATGTTTGAAGAAAAATGAACATAAAGATTTAAATGTGTAATCTTTTTGAAAATAAACCAATTCCTTCAAATTGGAGGGAAAAAAAGAAATATCTGTGTAATTGTGGTACTGATGTTTGTTGTATAAGTGCATGTTTTAATTTTCAACTCACCAATAGTATTCTGTAGACTACCATATTTACATATATTCATACTTGCCTCTTCAGCTATAATATCGCATTCCCTTAAATATATTGTCCGTGTTACAGTGTTTTGGCTCATGTTGGCTGTGATGATGTAAATACAAAACCAAATGTAACCCCACTCCTACCATAATCAGGACTAACCAAAGTAAACTTGTTATACATTGGAGTGAGATTTCTCTCACAGGCATATATATGTAATACAAATTGTCTATAATGTCTGGTGCCTGAGGTTGCTATATATTGTGCAGAGATGAATTACAAACTCTTTTTTCAGGCTATTGTGCAGATTTTGATCATCTTTTAGGTTGTTTGTGAACATATCTGGCTTTACATACTGATGGTATGAATATCAACATACCGATGTTTTAAGTACATTTCTGTACCGTAAATCCTGTGGTAAAATGTTTTTATATTATGATCATGGTAATCGCCAGTAACCTAAAAGACAAAAAAAAAAAAAATGTTTAATTTTAATGTGCCATAAATGCTTACAATAGCTTGAAAGTTAACTTTGGAGGCACCTAAATATATGATGCATTTCATTATGGGTAATTTTTTTTAATTCTCTTTTCTTATTAAATTGTACAATGGATATACATTTTTTTTTTCCAAAGCTCATTCATATGTTCAGTTAATCTACTTAACTGTTAATAAAGTGCGTAACGAATTTGTATCAAACTCACTTTTGGAATAAAAAATTGCAATGATTGACAGTTCTTGGTGTTATTAATAACCACAAATTTTCTTTATCTTGAAAAAACACACTGTAAATTGCATGATTTTTGGTATAACAATGCTTAAGAAGAGGCCCATGGGCTACAATGCTCACCAGAGTAACTATGGCCCTTCTTGTTCTTCTTTAGCAGATTTTTTCCCCCATATATTTCTCTGTAAAATTTCAAATTTTCTGTTTTCTATTCCATTCCGTGTTTCAGCAACACACAGTTAAGGAGATGGGTGCAGAATGCCTATGTCTTTAGATATATAAAAATCATATTCAATTTTTGAATTTAGTATTTAGAGTAAAGTTCTTATTGAAATTTATGAAATTATGATAAACAAAACTATTCTGAGGAAAATTTTCTCTGCAAAAATTATTCCGTTATTAAAAAAATAATGTAGTATTCAAGGGGTTCGAACCCTAGCAATAAAATTACCGAGAATTAATTTCCTTTAAGGCTAGCACGCTAACCACTACGCTACACAGCGCAAATGAATGGTGGCATTTAAATCATGTTTGTGATATGACCCTGGACTAAATGGACTTCAAGTATTTCTTGGAAAGATGCGAATGTTGTGTCATAAAAAAGTATTTTTAAGGTATAGTGGATCTTTCTGTTAACCAAAAATGTATATTTTCGCGCAAACTCTGAGGATAAACTTTCAAAAATATGGAGCGTAGACCCACTCATATCGAAAAATTGGGTTGTAGTTTGAGGAAATTACCCTTTTTGCTCTCTTTAGTGTATGCATGCTATTTCAAGACATAGGCAAATAATTTTAATCTCTTTGAGATTTTTGCCAATTATGGAGATTTTACATGAAGTATACTTTGATGTTAGATGAAATATCAAAGAAAATTTTGTCATAATTGAGATTAAATTTTTCATCTTCATGTTTGTTGCACTTATAGGCACTTTGCTTGCCTTGTTCGCCCATGTTCTTTACACATGGTGGCCCTGTTGTTTTCTTGATTTTTTCCCTATATATTCCCCAGTAAAAAAATTTACCCTTTTTAATGGCTTAACCGTAGTACAAAGAGGCCATGATTTGAGAAAAACTAAATCTACACTACATGAAGTTAAAAGAATATGACTGTACTAGTGACCAGGAAGGGAAAGCAGTTCTTGAGATTTTTATTGCCTATATATTACAAATGTACTATGCCAGACTTTGACCCATGTTTTAGCATGGACACTTTCACATTAGTTTTGTCTTCTTAAGCCCAGTAGTTCTTGAGAATTCTTTTAAAAATTAAACTAGAAGTACTGTGAGCACCAAGGTTGGAAAATGATACACCTGCTCCTATACAGTACTGTATAATGGCAAAGTCCAATTTTTGCAGTGGGAAGCACTAAAATTAATATATGTCAGTGATCAGAACGTAAAATAGGAGGCACACAATGGCAGCATATAATTAGTATTCTGTGCAAGTGTCATCCCCCTTAATGCTATAGAAAGAATGGCCATTTTTAGCTCTACTGGTCAGAGACCAGAAGAGCTTATGCGATAGTAAGGTGTCCGTCGTCCGTCCGTCCGTCTGTCTGTCTGTCTGTCTGTCTGTCCGTCTGTCTGTAAACAATTTTTCAAAACGCTACTCCTCCTACAGTTTTGGTCCGATTTCAATATAACTTGGCACACAAGTAGACTACACTAAGATACATAATTTAGTGCATCGGTTTTTGATTTCGATGGACGGTGTTGCCATGGTTACTAAAAATAGAAATTTCTGTGAAATTCCTTTAAAACGCTACTCCTCCTACAGTTTTGGTCTGATTTTAATATAACTTGGCACACAAGTAGACTACACTAAGATACATAATTTAGTGCATCGGTTTTTGATTTCGATGGACGGTGTTGCCATGGTTACTAAAAATAGAAATTTCTGTGAAATTCCTTTAAAACGCTACTCCTCCTACAGTTTTGGTCCGATTTCAATATATTTTGGCACACAAGTAGACTACACTAAGATACATAATTTAGTGCATCGGTTTTTGATTTCGATGGACGGTGTTGCCATGGTTACTAAAAATAGAAATTTCTGTGAAATTCCTTTAAAACGCTACTCCTCCTACAGTTTTGGTCCGATTTCAGTATAACTTGGCACACAAGTAGACTACACTAAGATACATAATTTAGTGCATTGGTTTTTGATTTCGATGGACGGTGTTGCCATGGTTACTAAAAATAGAAATTTCTGTGAAATTCCTTTAAAACGCTACTCCTCCTACAGTTTTGGTCTGATTTTAATATAACTTGGCACACAAGTAGACTACACTAAGATACATAATTTAGTGCATCGGTTTTTGATTTCGATGGACGGTGTTGCCATGGTTACTAAAAATAGAAATTTCTGTGAAATTCCTTTAAAACGCTACTCCTCCTACAGTTTTGGTCCGATTTCAATATATTTTGGCACACAAGTAGACTACACTAAGATACATAATTTAGTGCATCGGTTTTTGATTTCGATGGACGGTGTTGCCATGGTTACTAAAAATAGAAATTTCTGTGAAATTCCTTTAAAACGTTACTCCTCCTACAGTTTTGGTCCGATTTCAATATAACTTGGCACACAAGTAGACTACACTAAGATACATAATTTAGTGCATTGGTTTTTGATTTCGATGGACGGTGTTGCCATGGTTACTAAAAATAGAAATTTCTGTGAAATTCCTTTAAAACGCTACTCCTCCTACAGTTTTGGTCTGATTTTAATATAACTTGGCACACAAGTAGACTACACTAAGATACATAATTTTGTGCATCGGTTTTTGATTTCGATGGACGGTGTTGCCATGGTTACTAAAAATAGAAATTTCTGTGAAATTCCTTTAAAACGCTACTCCTCCTACAGTTTTGGTCCGATTTCAGTATAACTTGGCACACAAGTAGACTACACTAAGATACATAATTTAGTGCATCGGTTTTTGATTTCGATGGACGGTGTTGCCATGATTACTAAAAATAGAAATTTCTGTGAAATTCCTTTAAAACACTACTCCTGCTACAGTTTTAGTCCGATTTCAATGTAACTTGGCACACAAGTAGACTACACTAAGATACATAATTTAGTGCATCGGTTTTTGATTTCGATGGACGGTGTTGCCATGGTTACTTAAAATAGAAATTTCTGTGAAATTCCTTTAAAACACTACTCCTGCTACAGTTTTAGTCTGCTTCTAATATAATTAGGCATACAAGAAGACTATACTAAGATACATAATTTATTGCATTGGTTTTTGAATTCGATGAACAGTGTTGCCATGGTTACTTAAAATAGAAATTTCTGTGAAATTCCTTTAAAACGTTACTCCTCCTACAATTTTGGTCTGATTTCAATCTAATTTGGCACACAGTTAGAATACACTACGATACATAATATGTATTTCTGTTTTTTTTTATTTGGGTGAGTGGTGTTGTCATGGTTACTGGTACTAAAAATAGAAATATCCGTGAAATACTTTCAAAACGCTACTACTCCTAGTTTTCATTTGTCATTATGATTTCAATATAACTTGTCACAAAAGTAGACTACATTAAGATACATAATTCTATTTATTGTTGCATGTTGCAATGTTTCAAATCCAAGTGCTACTTTTCTTTTGTTATACAAACAGACCAGTAGAGCTACAGTCTCATCAGAGACTTCTGGTTTTGTTTTGCTATGAGAATCGCCAAATATCTGTCCAATCAAAATGTAAAATAAGAGGCATACAATGGCTCTACAGAATAAAGATTCTGTGAGCCTCATTAAAATTTTACTCAGTAATACAGGAGTTGCTGAAAGAGATGGTACCCCCAGGTGTTATGGACATACATAATGATGTACTGACAGAGAGACAGACACCCCCCATCACTATTTACCCCCACTTTTCAAGCAGGGGGTATAATGACACAACCCTATATTCCATATACATTGCATCTCTATTACCTCCCCTTGAAAAAGGTCTTGTGCTGACCATGAAAAGTGTTTGAATTTTGACCAAGTCCTTGAAAATGTATAAGGTCTGACAACATGTTGCTCGAATATCTGTTTTGTATCTCTTCGTAACATACAACAAATTAAACATAATTATCATTGACTTGTGATTTTCAAACTTTTTTCAAACATTTTCAAATGTCTAAGTAGGAAAAGACACCAAAAAATGTGATATTGACAACGCTAGAGATCTCTTGTTAGGATTCTTTAGTAAATATCATCCTCTGGTATCTTGCACAAATGCCTGGCAAGATACCTTTATTTTTTTGTGAGGAAACTTGTTAAAGTAGCAATACTTGAAGGACAAATTCTTGGAAAAAATTATATACATGTATTATTAAGAAATATTTCATCTGACCTTAAAAAGAAAAAGTACCCCACCTTATTTGCATGTGAAGTGCTAAAATTTTTCTACTGAGTTTGAGTTTGAACAATGTTGATCAGATATGTGAGCAAAGATTAAAAAAGGAAAGAAAAAAATGGGGTTGATTTAATTACTTTTTTTATAGCATGCCAATTAGAAAATGTTGAAAAAAAATGAGCTAAAGAAAAAAAATAAAAATTAAACAAGAGGCCCAAGGGCCTTAACAGTCACCTGAGTATAATACAACAATTTAGAGGATCCATAAAGTATAAAGTAAACTGATAGATGAAGCTTTGTTGTCCAAAAGCAAGAGAAATAGGATGATCAGGATCAATGAAATTAATTACTCTAGAATTCAGTAACAACACATACATTAAATTCTAATCTATCCCCCATTTGGCACTATCACCATGCAGACTAATAACAAACTATTAGTTCTTCTGTACTACTTTTAACCCCATATTGCGACCTCTCACTCTGGCCTCTCTTGGTCTTTGAAGAACATTTAATAAGGTAATTTTGTCTCATTTTTATTTATTTATTATTTACAAGTCTACCTGATCATTAAAACTACGAAAGTACTTTTTGTATTATACAATAAAATTTTTTGCATAATTCTCTTATTCTATATTAACTTTCAAATACATTATTTACAGTGATTAATTATCAAAAGTGAATGGCAAGGGGAATAACTTCTCTCAGTTGAATACAAATTAATAGAGCCCTGGCCAGAACCAGAATGCTTGACCAAATGGTCCTCATATTCAATATCCTTGCTTATTAAAACTTTTATTCTGATTGCCTTTGATATGCCAAAGAGCAGAGAAGATTTTCAAAGAAATAATGCATTTTCACTACAGATTCAACACAGCCCTACCCTAACACTAAAACCCATGTCCCAGGGTCATGAAATTCACAACTATGCACTTAGTTGAAGATTTTGAAGGAATTAACACATTTTCACTTTATTATCAATATTGCCCCCCCCCCCCCCCCCCCCCCCCCCCGAAAAAAACACCAAAGCCTGGGGACCACAAGTTTTAAAAATTTTGTAAGAAGCACAATTGTTCATCATAACAATGCACTTTGTTTATCTGCTCAGCACTAAGGAACAGACAGGATTATTAAACAGAATTTACAACTTTGGAAAAAGGCATCAATGCTTATCATAACCGTGTACTTAGTTTGTTTAAATAATATCCAGGAGCAAATGAGAAGATTTTCAAAGAATTAATGCATTTCACTATATAATCAATAGAGCCCCTGCCCTAACACCAGAACACCTGATCCAGGGGCCATGAATTTCACAATTTTGGAAAAGGCATCATTGCTTATCATAACCATGCACTTAGTTTGTTTAAATAATAGCCAGGAGCAGAGAAGAAGATTTTCAAAGAATTAATGCATTTTCACTATAAAATCAATAGAGCCCCGCCCCAACACCAGAACCCCTGACCCAAGGGCCATGAATATCACAAATTTGGTAAAGGCATCATTACTTATCATAACCATGCACTTAGTTAGTTTAAATAATACTCAGGAGAAGAGAAGAAGATTTTCAAAGAAATAATGCATTTTCACTATATGATCTATATAGCCCCACCCTAGCACCAGAACCCCTGACACTGGAGCCATGAATTTCACAATTTTGGTAGAGGGTCCAATGCTTATTACAATCATGCCAACAGTTTGACTGCTTGATGTCCAGGAGTAAAGAAGAAGATTTTTAAAGATTGCATCAATTTTGGTGGTTTTAGCCCCACCCCTGGGGCCCCCGGGACCATGAAATTCACAATTTTTGTTCCCCTTCACCCAAAGATGCTATATGCCAAAATTGGTTGAAACTGGTTAAGCAGTTCTAGAGAAGAAGTTGAAAATGTTCAGAAATTAACACACAACGGACGACGCCAGACAAAAAAGGATAGCAATAGGTCACCTGAGTCACTCAGGTGACCTAATAACTCAATATATTGAGTCATTTTTTAATTTGCATCATTGTATTGTCCAAAAGTGCTTGAAAAATAGCCTTAAAGCATTGGAAAAGTGCTTAAACCAGAAGTCTCTGATGAGACTGTAGCTCTACTGGTCTGTAAGTAAAGGAAAAGTAGCACTCAGATTTAAAACTTTGCACCATGCAGCAATAAATAGAATTATGTATCTTAATGTAAAAAATATTTAAAGTAACCATGGCAACTACATTCACTGAAATCAAAAACCGATATACACTATTATGCATCTTAGTGTAGTCTACTTGTGTGCCAAATTAGATTGAAATCAGACCAAAACTGTAGCAGGAGTAATGTTTTAAAGGAATTTCACAGAAATTTCTATTAACCATGGCAACACCGTTCATCAAAATCAAAAACCGATGCACTAAACCTTAACCTGTATCTTAGTGTAGTGTACTTGTGTGCCAAGTTATATTTAAATCAGACCAAAACTGTAAGAGGAGTAGGGTTTCTAAAGAAATTTCACAGTAATTTCTATTTTTAGTAACCTTGGCAACACCGTTCATCGAAATCAAAAACTGATGAACTAAATTATGTATCTTATTGTAGTCTACTTGTGTGCCAAGTTATATTGAAATCAGACCAAAACTGTAGGAGGAGTAGCGTTTTAAAAAAAATTTACAGAAATTTCTATTTTTAGTAACCATGGCAACACCGTTCATCGAAATCAAAAACCGATGCACTTAATTATATTTCTTAGTGTAGTCTACTTGTGTGCCAAGTTATATTGAAATCAGACCAAAACTGTGGCAGGAGTAGCGTTTTAAAGGAATTTCACAGAAATTTCTATTTTTAGTAACCATGGCAACACCGTTCATCGAAATCAAAAACTGATGCACTAAATTATGTATCTTAGTGTAGTCGACTTGTGTGCCAAGTTATATTGAAATCAGACAAAAACTGTAGGAGGAGTAGCGTTTTAAAGGAATTTCACAGAAATTTCTATTTTTAGTAACCATGGCAACACCGTTCATCGAACCAAAAACCGATGCACTAAATAATGTACCTTAGTGTAGTTTACTTGTGTGCCAAGTTATATTTAAATCAGACCAAAACTGTAGGAGGAGTAGGGTTTCTAAAGAAATTTCACAGTAATTTCTATTTTTAGTAACCATGGCAACACCGTTCATCGAAATCAAAAACTGATGAACTAAATTATGTATCTTATTGTAGTCTACTTGTGTGCCAAGATATATTGAAATCAGACCAAAACTGTGGCAGGAGTAGCGTTTTAAAGGAATTTCACAGAAATTTCTATTTTTAGTAACCATGGCAACACCGTTCATCAAAATCAAAAACAGATGCACTAAATTATGTATCTTAGTGTAGTCTACTTGTGTGCCAACTTATATTGAAATCAGACCAAAACTGTAGGAGGAGTAGGGTTTCTAAAAATTGTTTACAGACAGACGGACGACGGACACCTTACGATCGCATAAGCTCTTCTGGTCTCTGACCAGTAGAGCTAAAAATAATCTTGCTGGGCTATATGAACCCTGTTCTACAACATTGAATCTCCTTGGAAGAATGTGTTTTGGCAAGTTTGCCCGAAATAATTCAAATGCTTCTTGAGAAGTATAAACTAGGATAGACCAACTTTAAGAGGAAAAGCCCACTTGAACTTTGATCTCAGGTGAGCTAAAATCTTATGCTCCCCTCCTTCTCTGACCTATCACCTCTAAGTATGACCTTGACCAGGTAATTATACCCATTTTTGTAAGTTGTGAAATCCTGATAAAAGACTTGGATATTAATACATGTAGTTGTGGTCAGACATGCATGCATATAGACCTGAAACTGTATGCAGTAATAATTTCAATGAGAATCACAAAACTACATTCTCAAATTTATTTCCAAAAAAAAAAATGGAGCTTTACAAAGTAAAGAAGGGTATTGATATATGTCACTTAATTAAACAAAATTTACTTTTAATGATTTTTTTAAACAAGAAAAGACAATATTAATCTACTTCAGAATTTTACTTAAATGCTGCCTCCATTTCAATAACGTACCAGGAATACACATACTTATAAATGCCACAATGAATGCCTTAATTATTATATGCCATTTCACTAATTCCAATGAATTTTGCAAGTCAAAAACTGAGTACAATAATGTATACAAACTAGTGAACTGGAAGAGTTATTTCAATCTCAAATTAAAAAAAAAAAATAAAACAAAGAACAACATAATGCACATGTACAAAAATGACAAAGTAAGAGATGGATGAGTAACATGAACACAATTAGAATGTTAATACAAATAATGCTGACTGCTTCAAAAATGGAATTTTACAGACTGGAATTTGTTGCAAAAAATAATTGAGAAAAGACGGAACTTATCACTGACCCATCTATACAATGAACACATCTGTGGAATGGATAAGTCAAAGTGTATATCACGAACAGACAAAAATTACTACATTATACAACAGTTTTTAAACATTAATATGGTTTTCATTGGTAAAATTTCAGACTAGATAAGCACTATACAGCACCAATGGGACTTAACATAACCAAGTCCATGTAAAAGTCTTGAGATTAAGAAGGTAATTGCTGAAAATTGGGTGAAAACAAACAAAATACACAAAATTTGCTGGATAGGTAAACAGTTTTTACAATAACTGACTACTTCATCACACATACAGCAATTAAAAAGGGAGGGACAAATATACCAAAAAAAAGAAAGATATGATTTCATTGGGAACACAAATTATTTTTACCAACAGTTACCAACAACTGACTAGAACTGAAAAAAAAGCCTCTTTCTAACTATACAACAAATAATAAGGGAAAGACAATGGTTAAAAACAAGACTTCCTCAAAGGATATGATATGACATCCACATAATGGTCCCTTATTACATCACAACCAGTCTTTTTTCTGGATCAATTAATGAAGCTGAAGAACATACAAGAAGAGAAAATAACAGCTACATGTATATACATCAGTGGAGATCAGAATTTATGTGGCTACCATATATAACCTGTTTCCCTTTTGCAGTACAAAATACCGATAGCACCTACTGGTTGGGAACAGTATAATTGAACACATCACCTGCCTCAAAGTTACAGAGGACAAACAACTTCATACAGAACAAAATTCTGTGATCTAATTAGACAGCCCACATAAATGAACACAGTGTCAGATTCATGTGTAACTACATGAAAATATGCTGCCTGTACAATTGTTCTTTTTTTAATAATTTGTGATAAATCCTGTTTCAACACTCAATTCGGACGGTTGAATCAAACAGGTCTTCCAAACCCACACCTTTGCTTGCCTGTTATATTTGTTGTTCCAACCTGTGAACACTCGCTGAAATCTTTAGGGATAAAACTGGCATTGCTTCCAAACACCATCTTTTTATCTCCTTGGCTTGAAGATGACACAGGCAAGCTGGATTGTGGAAATCCCTGGTGTGTCCCAAACTCAAATCTTGGTGTTGGGTACAGGAAGCCATTTTCTGAGGACTGATTCTGGGCATTTTCTGGTTCTGTTAATCTGTCTATGAAGTTGTTCACTTCATCACATTTTTTCTTTTTCTCTTTAACATCTCGAAAACGAGTATCTGATGGTCTGGAGAGGTCTGAGCTTGAAAAATATTTCTTTGCCTACAACATAACATTTTCATCTTATTTCCACATCAAAATAATTTGGTTTGTCTTGATGATTGGTAAAAAAATGATGTTTATTTTTAAAGAAAAGTTGCATCCTACAATAATGAATGAGACAAAAGCATACCTTTTCAATCTGGACAAAATTTGAACATTTTTTTGTTTTAAATTAAAGATGAAAATCAGAAAAGGTCAAATGAAATTTTTTAAAATAACAAGGTCAACGGTTAAGACAAAAGTCAATATTGATGGCAATGATGGCAATAATTAAAACATCTCATATATTTGTTAAGGCTGAAGATATTATACAGAGCAAGGCATCCATAACCCTGATAACCAACAGCTAAACAAAACTGCTGCAACAGCTAAACAAAACTGCTGCCAAAGATGAACAGAAGACAATTCTATGGAACAATTTATAATTGCAATATTGTTGAAAATCAAAAAAATAAATAAATAAAAATAAATGTAATGTTTCTCAGTTCTGTACTTTTATTACACACGTTTACATAAAGTAACACTAAACATTACCTCAGAAAGGCAGACTTCAGGGTAAATTTTCTGTAGGTATGACAACTCGGGGGGCTTTTGTTTGGACAAAGGACTATTTGCCAGTTTCAGCAAGGCCTCACGACTGTAAAATAGTTTCTCTTTTTCCTCCAAGTCATCAGAATCTAATGGAGAGATTTTTCAGACTTTAATAACCATGGCAAAAGGGTTCATCAAAATGAATTGTGTGTTCAAGGAATTCTTGTGCTGCCAGCAGGCATTACATAATTATAAGAAATAACATTTAAAATCACATTAAATCTCAAATTTCATATCCTCAATATGAATATGCCAAAACGATGTTGAGCCAGGTCATCACAACCCCCTTTCCTAAACAATCTATGTGTGAACTACAAGCTTCCATTATAGGAATCATTATATCTAATTGACTTCTCAATGACATGTAATTCAGGATTAATATACAAGCAAGCTTTAAATAATTTTAGTAGTGCATATGTTAGCTGCAATAATGTAGCCCTCTCCGATTTTTTTTTTTTTGTTTTTTTTTTTTTTTTGTTTTTTTGGGGAGAGGGCTACAACTCCTTTGGATCTCCGTAATGGTGCAAGTGCGGGAGTGATTCACTACCGCACAGATTTCGGCTCAAATTAACAGTAAGTGGGTATTTTATTAACATATCTTACCTGAACTCATAAAATGTAGTTATGCAAGACATGAATTGATCCAAAAATATACAGAACAATCCGTATATTGGTTATTTTTCGTGTGTGTCAACATCACCACTTGAATTTATCCGCCATGTTTACTGACCTTGATCGATTTTATTTTGGGACAACCAATGCCGATTTGGGCGCGAAACATCTCACGTTTTATTTTAAATATTTCATCACATTTTCATTCGTTTTAAATTATTTATCAAATATTATATAAATATTTTGTGTGCTCAAATTCATGACTTAATAACATGCATTGCTATAGTTAACGGATCGTATGGTGCCCGTTTGCTCAGTGTGACTGTTCAACAATTCAACAGTGTTTCAATGAGGATTTAATTGTAATAAATTGGAGATCAAAAGGTGAGAATTTAAGTTGATATGTGGGTTGTCCAAGTCAGCAATAATTACTTAATTAGATGGCGGTATTATAATTATCTACTTATACGTAATTAGCACGGTGTTATAATAATTCATAATTATGCTATGTATGCAGGTATGTATACTTCAAACACAGACATAAATAATTTACGTCTCTGCTTCAAATATAATCTTCTTAAATTAAAAAAAAAATGTTCCAAAAATATCTATATATGTATATTTAAAACCTAAAATTTTGTTAAATGAACTAAACTCAGTAGCACATTTATGTACTTGGAGTGAAACATCGTGGGGCGAACCATCTCAGCGCGAAACAGAATCGGCGCGAAACATAGTGGGGCGAACCATGCATAGGTGCGAAACATCCCGTTACCCAAATGAGAATTCGGGATCTAGGGGAGCGGATCTGTTTCGGATTTCCCTTATTATAAGCATAAAGATCACTGTTTATGGAAAAAATATCACATGGAATGCTTTTATTTATCGATGTTTAGTGATATCATACAACACAGACATTTATCAACACCGACATTTACTTTATCAAGTGATTCTAAATTTCAAGCGCAAGTCTCAGTACATCACGCGAGAACTGTCATGGCTGCTGAGGAGAAGGATCGAAAAACACGCAGATTTGATTTACTTGGTTTTCGCGTATAAAGGGCTATGATGTTGATAGTGAATAAAAATTCCGTCTTATTGGAAGTAAGTTGAATGCAAAAACAATTTATTTTGCCTGCAGTCGCCCGTATCTAAAAAATATATTTGCACCATTACGGAGATGCAGTGGAATTGTAGCCCTCTCCTGAAAATATCAGATTAAAAAAAATCGGAGAGGGCTACATTATATGCATATGTATATCTGATTAAATGAAATTCTGTTATTGTTCATAGAGACTACAATTCACAGCATAGTTATACATGTATCCTGCTTACAAATTTTTTTTTCTCAAGATCTACATTCACTTTCTGTAAAATCACTTATTTTCAATGGATCAAATTTTAGTGGTTTGAGGAAAATATATTGTTTCAAAGGGATAAGATTTTGTGGTTGAAGAAATAAAAACATGGTGGTTGAAGAAAAAAAAACATGATATTATTGTTTAAAATTTTTACATTTTGCAGAGGACATCAATTCTAATGTATCCTCATACCATGAAAATTTACACCACCATGTAAATAAGTGATTTCACACTACTCTGAAATTCACCAACTTTTACCCCCTGTAAACAACAAAAATTTTTAATTTCTTTGTGCATTCTTCTATATCAATTGCATTAAAATTTTGAAAGAAATATGAACTAGTTGATTATTAGATCCTGAGGGATCCATAAATATTGTAAAATACTTGCATAACTTTATATTTCCTAGACATAAATAATATACATGTACAGTCAAACTTCAGTATCTCGAATACCATGGATAAGTCAAAGTCAATTTGAAGTCCAAACTACTTATTTCCTAAGTATTTTACACTGAATATTTCAAATCCTCGGTTATCTCGAAGTATTTTTCGATCGCTTTGAGTTCGAGATAATGAGGTTTGACTTATCTAATCTGTTAATGTAAAATAATCTCAATCTTCAAGTGGAGAAGGAAAAGCTTTTTGGATGAAAAAAAAAAGTTCAGTTAAGAAGACAAGAGATGAAAACTACCAATATATAGTATATGTTCTTTGACCTGTAGCTCTAAAAATACTTCCCAATGAGATAATCTTCCTCATGGTGAAATTTCTTGCGTGAAAATAAAGAGCCTACCTATATCTTCAAAACAAACAGCCGTGTTGTACTTTTTAAACATAGCTCTTCTACCACAAGGCGAGTAAATACTTTTTGGGAGGCCCTTCTCCACATCAGCTATCACGGAAGGATCACTTCCTGGCCCCAATGGATTTCTCTCAACTACAAGCTGAAATTTTAATTTACATTACTGTTTGATCTCATTATAGTATCTCAGAATAATTCTTTCTGATAGGCTTTTTAAAATTCAGTGAAATCTGTCTAACCCAATGACTGTGCAATCCGTTCCACTGTGAATTCCAACCCTTTATTTTCATTCCCATTTTACTAATTTTCATTTTTTTCTAAACTGTGCAATCCAACACCCTGTCTATTCTGAAACAAAATTTTCCTCCCAATGCATGTCGGATTAGACAGGTTTCACAGTAAAGTGTGTCAAAATTTACATTTAATTAAATTACCTTTCCATTTCCATTACTGTCTGCATTTTGAATTTTGCGAATGAGATGCTTTGGTCTCTTGGGAATGGCGGCTAACTCATCATGGACCCCCTCTTCCTCTAGCACTGTGGACATTTTCCCAGGGAACCCAAATCCAGCACGGACAGGAAGTTTTCTCCAGGACTCCTGATCTGCACCATTAGCAGGCTGCTTTCTTTCAGAAGTTCTCTGGCTGATAAATTTGTCTTCGGAACTCCTTGTCCATCTATCAGATCTGAACCTAGCCTCACCAAATCCTGTCCTTGTTAGATTGTCCATTCTTGGATTGTCTTTGAGTCTGGTGAATTCCTCCCTTTGTTTGCTGTAACATGTGTCATTAATGTCTTTCCGTTTTCTCACAGTATCACTCCAATGCTTCTCTGTGGAATACAAGGGCTCTTTTTCCTCCACAACTGTAGGTTTACCAAAGTGTTTTGACAGAAATTCATGGCTATCCTTAGCAAAAAAAAAGTGAATATGATTACATGTAATCATTATACATGTATTTTCAAAACAATATCTGTCATTATATCTTAAATATTCAAATACAAAATCAAGAATGTAAATAGTAGAAATATGAAAAAATAACTAGATATCATTGATATGGTGACCATCGCAAAGGGCTACATTTTAAGTAAAGGGCATTAGGATTAAACAGGTGTGTGAAGGACTGCTTTGGGGGTTCAAACACTGCATATGCTTTACCCAGGGCACTCTTTGGGTGAAGTATGAGCCACACTCTCTGGGTAAAGATTGAGCCAGATTGGGCCAACAGCAGAGAAAATATATCCCAGATAAGTGACACTGGACAGACAGGATGGTCACTATTAGGCACCTGCATAGCAAGGGCCTAATAAATTGTCTACACAGGAAATGAATTCATTATCATGGACTGCTGAATCAGTAGTGTTCAAGGGTTTAAATATTTCTAAATCTCTGTACTCTCATAAAACTGATGTTCTATGAAAAAATAAATGGTGATAAATCTCAACACAAAACCCTAAAACCAATCTTCCAAGTGAATATAACATACACTGTTGCATGGTTCTACTCTACTGACCAATTGCCCATGGTACAAGTATAACATTGATGCCTGGACGAAGAGTGAAATGAATAATAATTGGACAGATCTATGTATAATGGTTATAGTTCATCATATAACAGGCCCTGATAAATTAAATCATTCAATCTAGGAATATAAAGAACCATATAACTACATGGTTGCCATGGGCACCCAAAGAGGACCCTCAATAGGCATGTCTTTGTTCATGAATTTGATTCTTTTCACTGATATCTTTAAATTAACTTAAATTCATTAAGGACCCTGTATACACTAATGAAAAATGTTTTTTAGACATTGAAAAAATTATATAATATAAAGCAGTGATTCATTTTGAAAATGGTTATCATGGGTCCAAAGGACCTCTCTTAATGACAGGAATGAGTCCCGTGCCAAAATCAATGCGTCCAAATCCAAGCTAGGGTACCGTATATTAGATGTTACAGAGGAAATTCTGGTGAAATAAAAAAAGGGTATTGCACAAAAGTGCAAATGTTTTATTGTAGCTGTAAGTGATTTATACTTTTACTATTAATTGTCCAAGTAAGAGCACATGATTTTGTGTCATAAAAATAATATATTGTCCACTGTGCACCTTGGTTCTATTTTTAGATCGAACATACAATCTCACACATTGTATCAATCATAAAATACACTGAAGCAGAATGAAGTAAAAAAAAAAAGTTTAAGAAGAAATGAAAAATAGTCAGAAATAAAAATGATTAAATTTTATACTTCTTAGCTTGTAAGGAAAAACGAAAAGAAAAAAAAACAATGATACAAGTTACAGCTTAAATACAAAGGTATAGTGATTCGCTTCAGAAACATTCCACGGTATAGACATAATCAGTGATAATCGAACTATGCCATCTAACCTTCAAATATTTTCTGATAATTGCATTTAACTGCAGTTGTGAAATCTGACCTGTTGTTGGCAACCTTATACCTGTTAAGATCGTTCATGCATATCACTTAGCACGTGGATATGATGCAATCGGTCAAGTTTTGAATCAGATTATACCGAAATAATTTTTAAATAGTACAGGTCCTTCTATAAATTTATTGCGTCCATTGGGATGCACATTTATTGAAATAATGCGTCCTGAGCAAAATTTGTGCATAATTTACGCAGGACGCACACCAAAATGAATCACTGATAAAGGTGTAAACACTATGTCTATCTATTTATTTTTCAACATTAGCTACCTGCCATTTACCCCCAGAATTTTTTTTTCAAAAAACTTAGTACTGATGAACATAAATCACTGTTGCTTATTTAAATGGAAAAAAAATGCATGAAAATAAATTGTTCAATTTATTTAGCTTGGCAAAATAAAATGTTAGAAATGTTTGAATTGATTACATATAGAGTAATACGCTGTAGATTTCAATTTATTCAATTTTATATCTAGAGGTAGATCACTCTAACTGCTTAAAATGACCATGGAATAAGAACTCTTTAGTGTGCAGTGTATAGAGGGTCGTTAACACAGGTATATGTATTGAGCATTCAATTTATAAGAATTATTTTAATGAAAAACCTGTTTGTTACCTTCTTAGACCCTGTTTCCACTGCCAATATATGGTCTGCATCTATCAAAAAAATAAATACATACATTGTATATCTGAAATGTGAATCAATTACCTGATACAACAGTCTTACACTCCGATTCTACAGTTAAATATATAACCAACACAATGAAAATGTTACCTTTCTCTGTATTTTCATCATCATATGACTTCCTGCAAAAGCACAAAAAATACAGTTGAACTTTGTTATCTTGAACACCGATATCACAAAAACCAGAGATAGGTTGCATTGTGTTGGCAGTCCCAACCACTTTTTCCATATATTTTTTTTCTATTCTCCATCTCAAATCCTCTGATATTTTGAAGTTTAATCATGGTTCTGTCTAGTTCAAGATAATGAGGTTTGATTGTATTTGATTGTATCATATTTTTTACCAGCTACATTTAGTGATTTAAAAACCCATAATTACCTACATGATTTTTACGTCCAACAATTCAAATTTTGGATTTACAAAACTGTAAATCACTTTTTATACCCCAAACTAATTGCGTTCATTATATAATTATATTTATAAAGATAATGTAGAACAATAGCCTGAATTCATGAAAATTTTGTCTCACTTATAAATGCAATATAACTATCTCGCAAAGATAAGGTGTTGCGAAAATATGGTGATTTATAGTACCATGTACAGAACAAAACTACTCACAGATTCTCACTGGCATCCTCAATAAATGAATCCTCTGAATTCCACAAAACAATATCATCCAGGTCTCCATAGCCAGAATCTTGACTCTGAAACATAAGGAAAGACAATTAATTCCATGTAAAAAGAGTTGAACACAAATTCTAAAATCATTTCTATGTATGATCAGTGATATCTTAGTAAATTGCCTTTTTCTCTTTCCCTTTCACACAACACAGAATAAAAAGTTTAAATTTACTTAAAATCCAAGCCCTTTCAATCCAATTAAATCCAATCCAATCCAATTTAATATTAAACTTTTGATAAAATTCCCCACTGGTATAAACAAGAACAAAACCTCTGTTGTAAATATTACTTAAATATATTGAAACCATCATTAACAGTCTTCATTCTACATACATTTGCATAAAATTTAGAAACATTATACTTACAATTGCACGACAAACTTTACTTTCCTCAGTCTTCATAGACTCATTTACATTCAAATTTCCCTGCTGCCTAGTTGTGTTTGATTCCGTCTCAGTGTTTCCATTGTCCTATTATAAAACCATGTTTTTCATTAAATGTAGTTTTAAAGCACTCTCTTGTGTTTACATAAAATGGTTAATACGAACCATTTTACACCCCCACCCCAGTTCATAACTATTAAAACTGTATTTTGCATGAGTATCACATTTTTCTTCAAATTTTCATGAATTGTCTTTCATCCTCAGTTTCACTAACTCTTGAATGACTTTAATTTTTCAATTTAAAGATTCTGAAAAATTTGATCTGCAGCAGGTGTTACAGGTCAACAGGGGATGCTTACTACTCCTAGGCACCTGATCCCACCTCTGCAATTTCTGGGTGTCCATGTTTTATGCCCTGTTCACAAATCTGTACTTTTTGTATATTTTTTTAAGATCAATCACTGTTCGTTATCCTCACCTTTTTCACCTACATGTATCTAATTCTATCAGCTCTAAAATGTTGGTGAGATAGGAAGTTACATTACAAAGATAAATATCCTGCCGACCCTACATGTGCTATGCTCTTGCAGTACAGTAAAAAAAAAAGGGAAAAAATAACTTGAATTTATATTATGTCTACAGTTCAATATAGCAGTTACATGTATATTCTATGCAAAAGTGAAAAAGTTCTTTCCCTCATACGTTCTCTACAGCTAAGTAGTCCAAAAATAGGACAAAATTTTACCTCAAGTGCTCTACAAAATGAAGTCCAAAATCTTTTTTTAAAAGCTGTCTCTTCACAAATTCACTTAACTAGATCAAAAGCACACCTTATTGTGCATGGATTTCTTCTCCGAGTCTTTATTCCTTGATTGCTTGTGGAGGTCTAACATTTCTCGTAACACAGCTCGCACACTGGCATCATTGCCATCCCTCTTTAGAAATTCCTCCACACATGCCAAACTGCTTCTTATAAAGGCTGTTGATAAAGAAGGGAAATAATGCAAAATTGATGGTAAACATTTGCTCATAAATATGACAACAAACTTCAAATAAATAAGAAAATGTAAAGGAATATTTTTTTTGAATATCCATCCATTTTTATTTAGTTGTATTCTGCTTTTAAATTTAAGGCTACTTAGAAAACTTGTTCCAAATGACATTCTTTTCTTTATACAGATTTCATTTAACAGTGAGAGACTACCTGGATTTTCCCTCTCAAGCTGAGGCCCGAACTTCACCACAATGTCTTTGAATGAGCCAGCACTTATCTGGTCTAGACAGTCCAGCCTCTCTATTGCATTTAGGATTTTATCTAATCAAACAGAAATTAGAGAATTAAGGAGCTGGATTTCATACTTGGAGACCGTCATCGAAAAGTTGATATTGTGATCGAGGTTGGGAAATTATACATTTCAAGAATTAAATCTGCGATCTTTTGATGATCTTGCTAAAAAACATACATTGCAGTTCTTCCAAAAAAAACAAAACATGAAAAAAATTTGCTTATGAAATAAGCAAAAGCTAAATCTGAAATGAAGATAAGAAATAATGATTTCTTTTTTAATAAATACCTTCTGCCTCTTCTGATGATTGTATGCTTGAGAAATCTGAGGTGCATGATGTATTCTGTTCCATGTTGTTGTTCACTTCTGTAGTGGCAAGACTAGTCTCTCTGCAGGCAACATTGCTGCGCAGTGGTCTTGGTTTTTTTAATTTGGGGGTTCTTGGTGCTCTTACTCTCTGTTTCAAATCTACTGATGAAGATATACCCAGATTTAATTTATTAAAAAAAAAGAAAAAAATTCTTTCATTCAACAAAACAGGGATTCATCAGCACCTTCTCAGGGGCCAAAATTCGGCCCCATTCCCAATTGAAAATGAGTTCATGCAGTTTTTCCCAATTTGGCAGTATTTTTTCCCAATTGGTGAACAATGCTTTTATATTTAATTATCTTGGAAAAACACAAAGTAAAATTGTCAGATTTTCTGTAATTTTCATCTATTTAACTCATTTAGCAAAGCTACAGTCATAACACATTTAAAAACACTGTAAAAACATCGCCAACTTTTAATCTGAATTTCCTCCGTTTTTCTGAAAATGGTGATATTAGTATGTAATTTTATTGATTTATTAAGTTATTTCTACCTATTCAATTGATCTACGAGTGAATGGTAAGGACTGTAGACATTATTTCAAATAGAAAAATATATTTTCAATGCATTAATAAATTTTAAAAGAGGACTTTGAGAAAATGTGTACTTAGTATAATTTTTGGCAGGAGGTTTATAATCTCCAGAAACAGATTCTATAATGACCTAAATTGGAATCTCATACAAACATGTACTACCTTAAGTTGTATAAACACTTTATACTCATTGAAGTCAATTTTACTTTTATTAGTCTATTATTCATAATTGATCTTGTATGAAGTACGTTGGATCATGTTTAATTGTCTGTTTGGTTGCCCAAATTAGAGTTCATGCTGAAATGTTAAATGAATTACACCTGAACATGCTGAATACATGATTTAAGCAACATTTTTAATTTTTCCCAATTTCCCAAAAGCTGATAATTTCTTCCCAATTCCCCCAAAATAGCATTTCCGAAAATAGGCTTATAAATCCCTGCAAAATGAAATTTCATGCCACTCAATAAAATTTTAATTGGCTTTTAATATTTCAAAATGGAATTATCTGGACAATTACTGTATAAAATTAACCTGGTCACCTATCTACAAAATATAGGTCAGATTTAGCAACTGAAGCATTATTGGAATAAAGCATCCTTGGATGCTGGATTCAAGTGAATATTTAGTACACGGCGGGCTTATTGTTACATAATAATTAATAGTAACAGTTTAATTACACTGGAAATAAATCTGCTCTAAAAACATTGACCTGGGATGCCAACACCATTGCCAGAGTTATAGCATAATTTAAAAAAAAAAAAATCTTCATGGATGCATCAGTCTGCATCTTAAGGAGTAACTTAGTATTTCATTACCATTATTGTCACCCTGTCCTTTGTTACTGATGACATTGGACAAGCAGTTGAGGCTAGCTGGACAAGAATCATGTGTCAATCCATTGCTTTTCTCTATATAGTTATTATTCAGCTCCATCGATCTGCTCTGCTCCAACATGGATAGCTCTCGGATTCCATTGTTAAAATTCCTGTTTTCAAGTTGGTCCAATATGGCTTCTGTTTTAATATTCAATTTTCTTGGAGGAGGTTTACTTAACTTCACACCCTTTGGGGCACTTGCCTTAAATCCAAGCATCTCCATGGATCTATAAAAAAAATCCAAGAATAATACATGAACAGAATATAATTAATGACAGAATTTTTAATTATTATAAAACTTATTTTACTTATCAAGTCTTCTTTGAAGACCCTTTAATAAAGTAATTAAAGCACAAGATCATCAGCATATAGTGAACAATGTACACTGTACAGGTTGATTTAATTTAAAACAACAAAGTCAATCCAATTCTGGAGGTGGGAAGAAAACAGTCGATTTTCTACAAACACATGACTCTCCTCACCAGGGTCTGTGTTTCCTAGATAGGGGAGTGGGTCCATGGTCATTTATTAATTAATTCTGTATAGAAATTTAATTACTCTGAAAATTCCAAGGGGGGGGGGGGGGGGGGCAGATCTCCTTCTCCAACCCCATGGTACTTGGGCAAACCATTGACGAAAATTTTAAATAAACTGCGACTTAAAATGTCTCCTTGCTTCACTTCTAAATCCACAGGTATTAATATTACATTAGTTATTATGTTATTGCACCTGGCCAATCCCTTTGCATCCAATTGTAAATAGATTTTAATTCAGCTGTGGGGTCTTGGTGATGACAGAGTCCAAAATGGAGTGTCTGAGGATGAAAAGGGAGGTGCTTCTTGTGTCAGAGGTCATAAAGAAAAGGAATATCTTTTTCTTTCAACACTAAATCTATTAGATCTGCAAGTTCAATTTCCAGCATCATTGAGAACGGGGTTAGAATGTCACATTATCCAAGCAATTAGGATCTCTATTTCATCCATGTATTGACCACAATATCTTATAACAGATTTGAAAATAAAAAAATCAAGATGAAAAAAAGAAAAAAAGGAACTGAGAGTGGAATGAGATAATGACCATAAGTATTTACAAGTCAAAAAGGGGAAATGCTTCGCTTTTTAGAAAACTTAGTATTCCTTTGGTGATATATAAAATGTCGATCATTACTTTATTTCAATCTCCTTTCATTGTTTATCATTTGCTAATTATTCTGTATTTTCACTTTCTACAGATATTTCTAATTTATCATTGCATGATCACAACATAAATCCATGCTCATTTCTCAAAAGTAAAAGTTTGACACTAATGTGAATCATAACAATATCAAATGCTTTTCGAAAATCAACTAAACAATGAAATAAATCCTCCCTTCTTGAGTTTCATCAATATATTTATCATCCTGTTTAGTAAAAGTAGATTGCATATCTTACCTCAAAATTAGATAATATAAAGTTGTGATAAGAAATTGTGTAAAATTCCCACGCTATTTCTGTGCTCTCTCCTTCTGTTTTGTATCAAATCTGTAATCCATGTTGACAGCTCTAATAGATTTAGGTAAATGCTTTGTCATGCAGTTTTTCACCAGTCCAGGTTTAGCAAACATATGAACCACAGGGGGACAAATTATAGCTTTTACTCTATATGAATTTTTTTTCCAATAAATAATTTTTACACCCTGGCCAATGAGAGCAGTGACTGCATGAACCCAAAGTCTGTCTTCACAATATAGCAGAGATGTCACACTTTGGCGGATTAATTAAATGAGTTAGGAAATGATATACACAGGATGTCTGTAATCCACAGGGTATGGGAATCCCTGCTGTGTCACACAGTTACAGGTTAAATGTTTATAACTCAGCATATGTCTTAATGGGCTTTACAATGCATTATCTCTGCATGTGTCCAAACACTTATCTTTCCTCCATTATCTTACAATGGGGATTATCTTATTAAGAAAATAAATACATTCATAACAATTAAGATTTTTGAATCATATTTTCAAGAAAACTATAATGGTTTACACTTTCTTTATCCCCTCCAATATTTACTCAGCAATGGACCAAAGAGAAATTTCTCATCATTCAAATCTAACTCTTTCATGATTATTTATACAGCAATGAACCAAAGAGAAATTCCTGATCATTCAAAGCTAACTCTTTCCTGATCTTACTTCCAAAGCATGCACAAGGGTGTGGAGTCATCCCCTTTCCAAACAATGATTTTACATTAATTATTTTACTTTGTTGTTTATGTGGAAATTAAGCCCCCCTTTGAAGAAACATTACCTACAGCAAACCTATTTTCACCTTTTCAGCTATCAGTGTCAAAGCTGTTATAAGATTGGTCATAATACAAGAAATCTAAGACTGGGTCATCGTGGTTCAGTTGATGGATCAGTAATTTAACATCTCTCTCTCTCTATCTATATATAGATATATGGATCTTGTAATCAGAGACATTAAATAAGAGAATTTTGTATTAACTGTTTGAAATCTTGCAGTCCATATTCTTTACACTTTTTAAATCTCACACAAAAATTTTTAAAATTATCAGTGATAACAAAGTTTAACTTTGAAATTTATAGTAAGAAACTAATATATTCAGAATGTTTTATTTTTCTAAGTTTCTTTAACACAAGAAAAAGAAGAAATCCGAAATAGCAACATGTGTCTTGTGTTGGCCATATCACCAAGATCTCGCCAACTTTCAATCTTTAACCTCTTTAATTTGCCTAGTTTGCTTTTAATAATCAATTATATATAGTTTTAAAAATTTACAAATCATACACCCATATATAATAAAACTTACATTAATTTTACTTTAGAGTGAAATACACAACCTATAGAGTGTAACTTTAACAATAATGCTAGCTGGGACCAGCACATACTTAAGTAAATAAACATATTTATGCTATCTCTGTCAATACACACTTCACATGAAGAATAGCCCTCAGCTATGATTGAACTTGGACTAATCACACAGCTTTGACATTACACAGTTCATATACCACATATATATCATCATCTAAATTCAGTAATTATAAACACAAAATTTTTAAAAACATTTTTAAATCATGCCACAAAACTATTAAATTTTCACTGATTTAACTTGTACTGCTTCAGTTGGTTTACTTTGAGTTGACAATTCACAAATATGTACTTTATTGCATCTATTTAGAGATTCATAAAATGAAATTCTTGTTCGGTAGCATATCAAATTTCTATTCCACTTTCATTTTTTGAACAACTTCTGTTAGTGTAATCATGCTGCACTATTGAAAACATTGCTTCATTTTCTTATGCACAAAAATTAATTTCTAGTTTAGCAACAGCTGTTAAGTTGCACAAATAATAAACCAAACAGTACTGAGAGAAAGCATAAAATGATGCTTTTATTACTATCACTATCCACTTCGATCGAAAAGTCAATGACTCGATTAAGTGACTTCTCAAAACAAAATTAATAACAATGGACACACTATTTGCCCCCCCTGGGTAAGGCTTTTGTCTTTTTGCAAAATCTATAACAGAAGGGGACAAATGCATCATAAAACTGAAAAAAGTTGCATTTCACTTACCAATAGACACGTCTTGTTATATCTCTAACATGTGGGTTTTGATAATAAATGGGTCTGTGAACTACTCAGTCCATTCGACAGAACGCGCCACCACGACAGCACGAGCCAAGAATTTATTTTAAGAAGCAAATCCTGTGGCCCTCCTATTTCCGGCTGACCATATCGCAATGATCCTTTCTATATTTTTGATAAAATAAATTAATGTCAACGAAAAATACCAAGTCAACAAAATTTCTCACATAAGTTACTTATTCCTCCAAAATAAATCATTTTTACTCTCCGACGTTCCCAGAGCAGGTTTTAGCTCACCTGAGTCCAATATTTCACAATGTAACATTATGCACTAGGAACACGTGCAGTTATTTTATTATGAGCTATGATTAAAAGAGACCGTATGTCAATATTTAAAGGTAAAATATCTGTGGAACAGGTATTCAATCAAGCACACTTTTTTTCACTTACTTTTCTTTGCCGAAATTCACACCAACACTCCCACCCCATATATTTTGTTTTTTTAAAGAAATGAAGTTAAAATTTTGTCTTCAGAATTGAACACACATTGATGTCATCGAGCAATGACTGGACATAATTATTGGATTAAAAAAGGATAAGAATAAACGCACCAGCTGTGCATTTTCTAATTGAAGATTGATTTACAAAATAATATATTTAAAAGAAAAAAGAAAAAAAAAAAACATGTATCCAGGCATTCGGAGAAAATGGCATGTCTTTTGTTCTTGTACGGTATTTTAGTTCTTTTATTTACTTCAGTTGTTATATAAAATAAGCACTAGCGGATTTAGAGGGGGCAGGGGGCCCGCCCCCCCCCCCTTTTGTGTCCAAAATATACATAAGATTTAATAAATCATTTTTTTTGGTGTGACTGTGGGCCCCTATCCCGACCCCGAACTGCACCCCCCTTTTTTCAAGATTCCTAGATCCGCCACTGATAAGGTGTAAAAAGTTATAGTGCTATCATTGCAAGACACCACACTATCTCATTTCTAATTTCATACCATGCTGTTAAGCATTGATATCTTAGGCTAGATTAGAGGAAAGTCGATTTCTCTAAAAAAAAAAAAAAAAAAAAAAAAAAAAATATATATATATATATATATATATATATATATATATATATATATATATATATATATATATATATATATATATATATATATATATATATATATATATATATTCTTTTTTGTACTACTAAAGGGTACAAGTGTCAACTTTATGTCTTACAAGACCGTTTGTAAGACTTCAAAGAACCTTGAATCATATTAAGAAAATCAATTTTTTTTTCAAAAGTTAGCAAGATCAAAACTATGACTTTTCTAAACTTTAATTTATACAACTAACTTCACGACAAATGAAAAAAAAATAGGCTTTTCATATCATATAAACAACTGCTTCTTCAATAAAAATGGAACTCGGAAATTTTTATATCTTGTGATTGGCCACCAACAAAATTACTTTGTTGTTAAAATTTGATTCTACACACAAATAAGTACGCTGAAGTTGATATTTTAAAAAATCAATATAGTCTTTGGAGACCAGCAAACTGTTGGCATTTCTCTGGGCACTGATTATGCTCCTTCTTATCCGACCGGTTAATATACATTTTTATGAAGCAGATTTTATTCAGAAACTTCTACATGAAAAGAAGAAAACACTTGCTTTGGCCTTCAACTCGACATTCAGATATATTGAAGATTTTTTTTATCAATTAACAATGGTTATTTCCATTCATATGTCGACTCGATATATCACATTGAACTCGAAATAAAAGACACAACAGAGTCTGCCACATCTGTTTCATATTTCGATGTTTTACTGTACTATAGACCATGAGGGTCAACTAACAACTATAAACTGTATGAAAAAGTAGACGACCAGCTTTTCCATTGTCAATTTTCCTTATTTATGTAGCAATATTCTGCTATAACTTGCATATGGTGTTTATGTCCCCCAACTTCTTCGATACTCGAGGGCATGCTCGGAGTACGACCAATTTTTAAACAGACAGGCTACTGACAGAGTTAATAATACAGGGATTTCAACAACCTCGTTTAAACTCAGAATTTCTTAAATTCTATAGTCGTTATAATGACCTTGTTAGCAAATATAACCTATCATTGGATCGTATTTTGACTGACATATTTCATACCAATTGTTAGTTAGGTTTTGTTTTTACATTATATTTGACTGCGGAATATTCCGTAAATCAATACCCGATCAATATAAGGCTCACGGCGGGTGTGACCAGTCGATAGGGGATGCTTACTCCTCCCAGGCATCTGATTCCATGCACCTCTGGAACTCCGGCGGGGGTCCGTGTTTTATGCCCTGTTCGCACATTTGTATTGTTTGTACCTTTTTCCCCAGAATGATCACTGTTTTTTACCTTCACCTTTTCTCATTCTATTGCTGTGGACATTTTCAATTTTAGATAAAGTCACTTGAGACCTCTTGTTAATTTTTTTGTTTTAATAATCAACTATATTGTAAATATTTAAACACATTTTTTCTGTAATATATATACTATATGTATATTTATGCATGCGCACCAGCAAGTATAAAACGTTTATATTTTATATTTCTCATTTCATGTGACTGACTGAGGTTTGAAAAATTGTAGACGGATCCAGCCCCCCCCCCCCCCCCCCGCGTTTAAGATTTTATATTTTTTTCATTGTACATTTTGTCTGTTTAACTTGTATATACTCTCACGTGGTATCAGGGCTGGTTAAAAAAAACTTTTTTGTCGAAAAAATATACGTGTGGAAATCGATATACGACAGCCAGCTGCTCATTGCTCACTGCCAATTGCTCAATGCTTTCTGCCAAATGCTCACTGCTTACTGCCAACTGTCCCCTGCTTATAGATAATATGTATCAACCATATTCTGCCGCTGTCAGTTGCTCATGTACAGGGGCGTCGTGTATTTGACATTGGGGAGGCGAACTGGATCGAAAAAGGGGAGTTCTAAGTAAACTGTTTTGACTAAAATTCATTTTGATATTTCTTTCCCCATTTTGTCAATAGTCTAATGACACCATCTGATAAAAAGGTTGCTTTTTGAGTTTTTTTTTTTAATTTATATTTTATGTCTTAAGCACATATGAATGAATATCAGCGTTCTTTCGGCAAGAAGAAACCAGAATTGCGTTCTTTTAACAGTTGAATCAAACATCTTGTTTTTTTAAAATATCTATGTGCAAACTCGAGACTTTTTACTTACAAACTGAATAAAAGTATACGAATGTTCAACCTCTCTTGATTTAAACCATACGCATTGTTACATTATGACGAGATAAATACATGTGTATATCAAATTACGAAATATTAGAATTTTTTTTATTACTCTTTGATATTTATTGTTTCTAACCGAAAGAGCGCTTAAGAAATTTTAAATTGAAACGGTTTGATTTATTCTTATTAATCCCTCTACTTTTAAAATTGAAATGCAGAAGTATGTGTAACATTAGTAAAAAAAAACAAAAAAACAAAACAAAACAAAAACTCAAATTGTTTTAGACAAGGATTTTAAACTAATTTTCAGTACTTTCCTTTAATTTATATACTCGTACATTTTAATCATTTTTTGATAATTGTTTAATGATCTACGACTTTGAATCATCAAAATTTTCAAACATTGATCGACTAATTAATTGGACAATGAAATTGTACTAAAACTTACCGCGATGAGCATACTTAATACCCTGTTTATTATTTGCAATCACCCGGTACAGGTATCTGGATGCATCCCATTTTGTGTCTGTGTAAACAGTAGTTTTCAGACCTCCATTGACTACAGATCGCCTTTATCATATTATACTCGCCTCTCGAATGATCAGATATAGCCATTATTAATTTTGTATTTTTATTTTCAATTTTTTTAGTATATAGAGATAATCATTATAATTATAATAATCTTATCTTTTGCTAAACTATTGAAAAGCGACCGCCACCCTGCTACCCCTTTGTCAAAAATATCCCCCCCCTCTCTCTCCCTCTGAATCATCAACATTCAGGAAAAGACAAAATTTGTAAATTTTTATAACGTTGAGTTACGACCAGAAACATATAAAACCATATGTCTTAGATGTCTCTGGTTACGATTGACTTGTTAGTTTAAAATACTGAATGTCTAATTTTATCAGCGTATAAAAAGCACACTTTTACGCACTTCCGGATCTGTGAACATTATTCAGAGTAATATGGCTGGTCGTCCTCTTCCAGATATTTTACTAAATCTGAAGTTTTTAGGATACAAATTACCCATAAAGAGGAGAAATAGGCTTTCTGTGAGTACATATATTTATAATGTGAAATAAATTGCAACATTGAAGGTTCAAAGTTTGCCAGTGGGTTTAACGGTAAAGTTAAACGAACAATCATAATGTAGCGACGGAAAAGCAACGGGCGATAATTCTAATATTTGCGAAACTAATGGCATGAAGAATCGGTTGGTCGTGTGTTACGGACTGATACAATAAGATGACGACATGTATGATAACAAAAGATTTTTCGGAAACCTTTGTGAGGTATATCTGTAAGCATATATGGATGAAAATAAATAAATGACATCATTTAAGTGGGGAAAATAATGAAATATTCGTTTCAAGAGAGAAAAATGAATGTCACAATAGAAAACTGATTTTTATAAAATAAAAGAAATACTTTTTATGATAATAAAATCTAAAAATAATTCTAAATTCTTGTATTCAACACCAAATCACGTTAAATCACATGGACTATTTTTGCTTGACAAGGTTATTTGCCCTTTGTTGTCATAAAGGTTGAATCATGGGAATATCTTGCTCTAAACAATTTAGTTCGTTTTGATTTTCTAGTTTGTTTTGATTTTTGTTGTGATTGTACATTGAAGTACGACGATGAGACCAATGAGAGTCGATGTCTGCTTTTTATAAGTTAAAATTAGTTTAAAAAATTAGAGTTTATTCTAAATTCACAAACATACACATAGAAATGATAATTTACATGGTAGGCCCCTGATTCCATTCATCACCCCCTCCCCTTTTTAAGCCAAGCCAACTCAACAA